GTTTCCTTTTTAGAATAGATGTTCTGATACCTTGTAGATATAGCCCCGGGAATGTCAGGTTGAAGTTCCCATAAAGTCTTAATTGAAGTCTTAGTGATTTTGCCATCATTCCGCAAAAGAGAAAGTCAGCAAAGACAATTTAGAAGTGATTTACAAGTAAAGGTCGAGCTTTTTATGAAAAGGCCCTGAAGTGGAGGTATGTGAATGAATTAGTATTTGACAGGTGTTCTGAGACACTACAGGGCACTGTGCTGGGAAAAAAGCATTAATAAATCCTTCAAACACTAACTTTTGTACTATCAGCGGCTCAGATTTTTTTCCCCCAACATAATCCCATCTTGTGAATTTCACACTGTTGACATAAAGCCGGGCTACCCAGATTATTTACAGCTAAGGCAAAGTAAAGCATGTATTTTTCTTTTAAAAAATGAGTCTTGATTTAAAAAAAAAAAGGGTTGTCATTATCACTGTGCTCTTCTCTTTGCCTTTCTAAAATGAGACATGATTTATAATAGACTAAATTGGCATCCTTCCTTTAACCCTCTCACCAGCCCCCTCGCCCCCCAAATCCTAAAACTTAAAAAAAAAATCGGTATTATTATTTGACTGAATGATTCTAGGCAGGGCCCAGGTACTTTCAGCTGACTAAGAAATGCCTGTATCCTATAGGTTTTCTTTGGTCCAGCTTTCTTTTCAGTGTTCTTTCAAGGTTGAGTTCTCTGTGGAATAAATGTGAACTTTTGTAAGGCCCAACTTTATTTTAAACGCAATTTTGGGTTTCTTCCGGGGGTGGGGGGAACCCAAAACAATATGAAAGACAAGACCACGTATAACGTTACAGCCTCGACAGCTCTCCGTGGAATAACTGAATACTTTCTTCCGCCCATATGTACCAGCCGTGTTCACATGTTCCTATGCACATGTGCATTTATATTCATCGTGTAAAGAAGCATCCGTGCATGGTGGGGGGGTGGACATTCAAGAGAAAATGCATGAACAGTTTTAAACCACCTGGGTTGCTAGGCCCTTTTCTCTCCCCAACTCCAACCCCTTCCTTTTTGTAAAAAGAGCATCTGAAGACCATATTGTGTTTCATAAATTATTGACATCAGTTTTAATCAATGTCCCCCTGACGTCAGAGCTGTGTTAGTATTTAGTTTCTGACGAAGCATGCTGTTTAATCTTACTGTGGGGATGTCAGCATGAACCCCTGCCTGGTTTGTGACAGGGTGAGCTTATGAAAACTTGTTTTGCCACTCACTCTGAAGGCTTTGCGTGGCCCAGCTGAAACCCAAAACCCACACAAAAGACGACTCTGCAAGATGAGCGCACTGTGCTGGGCTGGCCTCCTGTGGTTATGGGTACCTGCAAGGTAATGCTCATAACTGTTTAAACATGGTTTGGAGGGGGGTTCCTCATGCTGTAAATGGCTCTGGTGCTCGGGCCCACCATCATCCCCAGTGGCAGAGGGAGGTTATATGGAAGGTGTTGCCATGAGAAATCGAACGCCCCACTAAAGACGCTTGCAAAATCAGAAGGCTAACATGATTTGCTCCTTAGTCCAGAGTCTGGTACGTTGCTGTAGATGGGTGCGTGTTTTTATCGTCATGGTAATTATTATAATTATTGTCATTACATGATTAACCCTTGAGGACTCATTTTTTGCCAAACTCATTAGTCATTTAATCATCACGACTATGGTTATAATAGGCCCTATTATTGTCCTTATTTTACAGATGAGGAAATCATAACTTAGAGACATTAAATGGTTTGCCCAAAGCCATATAGCTCGTAGGTGGTGGAGCTGGGATTCCAGCCCGACAGTATGCTTTGTTTTATTGCATCCTCTGTGTGCCTCCCCGTGGAATGGCTGGATGGGTGAATGAATGACACTTACATTTCCGTGTATAGGCAGACCTCAGAGATACTGCAGGTTCATTCCAGACCACCTGCAATAAAACAAATACACAGGAAAGCGAGTCACATGACTTTCTCGGCTTCCCAGTACCTGTAAAAGTTGTTTACATTATACTGTTGTCTAGTAAGCGTGCAATAGGGTTTTGTCTAAAAAAATGTACTTACCTTAATTTAAAAGTACTTTATTGCTAAAAAATGCTCACCATCGTCCGAACCTTCAGCAAGTTGTAGTAGTAGCATCAAAGATCACCACTCGCAAATCACCATAACACGTGTGTAATGATGAAAAAGTTTGAAATCTTGCGAAGAATTCCAACATGTGACACAGAGGCATGAAGTGAGCAAATGCTGTTGGAAAATGGCTCCGATAGACTTGCTTGGGGCAGGGTTGCCCCAGACCTTCAATTAAAAAAAAAATGCAGCATCTACGAAACTCAGGTAAGTGAAGTACCATAAAATGAGGTCTGCCTGGATAGGAGAATAGTTGGACCAGCCCGTTAACCTCTTGCTAGAATTAGAGGTGGTTCCCTAGTTGTGTTGTATTCCACTCCGTTCTATAATGTCACATCATGTCATATAACATATTCATTATATTCAGACATACTGAAGTATGAAATTGTCTGTAAGAAGTTGTCCTCTCTTTTAGCCATCAGGCCTGGTGGAGGCTG